TTTAGACAGTCGTTAAGTGAATCACCACTGTCGTTAAGTGAATCACATGGTTGTTAAGCGAATCACGTCGTTGTTAAGCAAATCCAGCTTCCCCAATGGATGTTTTTTGCTGGAATTCACTTAATGACCACATGATTATTTTAACAACCATGTGATTTGCTTAGTGACCACAGTGATTTGCTTAACGATCATCATAAAAAAGGTCACAAATCGGGATCATGTGGCCGCGGGGGGTGGTGTGGCCATTTGTGATGGTCGAAAGTGCAAGTACAGGTCGTAAAGCACTTTTTCCAAGGCCTTGGTAACTCTGGACCATTGTTAAACAAACGGCTGATAAGCAAGGACTACTTGTAACTGCAACAATGTTGTAACTACAGCAGCATTCACTGGATCATATTACTTTCCTTAGAATGAATAGCCAAGGTAATTATTTTGAGATTTTGGAAAAGTACTATGACCCTGGATTTCAAAGACTAGATTCAAGAAATGTGTAATTAATTCAGTTTATTTCTACTAATCAAAAAAATGACACAATACATTTCCCTTTGGCATAAATTTCATAATATTTTACAAGAATAGACAATTTTCATGCAGTTTGATATGTTGTTATTACATGATTAAGTATGATATATTTTGGTGATTTATTTTACTTTAGTATCTTAATTTTTAGTTTTTTTGTACTAACTAGTTTAATTTTCAATTTTTTCTCTGTTCTGTTTTCCTATTACAATTTCATACTTAGTAAATGTGTTGATGTTACTGCTTTCTTCTAATTTGTTTCTTATTTATTTATTAATCAAATTTATATGGCAGCCCATCACACAAAAAGCGACTCTGGGTGGCATACCGTTCTTTCTGCATTTCTCTTTAAAATTGCAATAACATTATTTTTTAAAAAAACACCTTTTAATTAAAGTATTGAAAGCAGTGTTGCAATGTCAAAAAAGCTCTGCCTTTTTGGGGCATGTATGCAATGTCGCAACACATGTAGAAAAGATGTGGGTTTATATCACAATGCTGTGATGCACCTTTCTTCAGTTTGACCCCCCCCCCCCCCCGCCTGTAGACACTCTTGGCTGGCACAATTGTCTGGCCTTGAATATCCACTCATGCTGTAACATACTGTATATCTAACGTTGCCACAAATATATCATGTATAATGTGTCTAGAAATACATTAAACAACCAAGGTAATATCCTTGCCTTATTTCCTGCTCAGTGTTGAACCATTCACAAAGCATTCTGCTTATCTCTTATCACAGTTGGCAGCCCTCAACTCTATATTTGCACAAATATAATTCACAGTTCATTTTATCATACTGTCTTTCTCATATTCTTACATTTCTTGGTGACCTTCAGAAAAGTAAAAATCTGTCTTGACACCATACACTGTACTCCTCAAAGTTTCTTTAGTGCCACCTCTGGTATCATTTTAATCAGACTTGTAACAAGCACCTCTCACCAGATAAAATGAACAAACTTATTATCCTGTTGTTTTTGCATCTACCCTTGTTATCTTTCACTTTGTATAAGGGAACAATAATGGTGTTCTTCCACTTGTCAGACACAGATGCAATTTTTACACACACACTAAACAAATCACACTGCCACTTCATCAGCAACCACACCCATATTTCTGCTATGACATCATCAACACTTGAAGCTTTATGTTTTTAAAACTTTATGATTTCTTTTTCAGCATTTTGTCCTTGGACACTAACATTTATAATATGTGTTTCAATTCCACTCTTTTTTTAATCTTAGAATATTATCTTCTGAAGATTTTAGTTTTTGTTACACAATCATATTTATTCCAATTCCACTCTTTGACATGTTACTATCATTCCCATACAAATCTCTGAAATGGTCTTTCTAGCATTCTCTCTCTTCAATTTCATCCCCCTACCCCAATTTTTCACTTTTTCTTTTTCATGTGCATCTATTAATGCACATAAACTTAAACCAGACTTTTGAAATACACAGATATTTTTAGGCAAGCAATTCACCAAACTTTTAGCATTCTCAGACCTTTGAATGGCCCAGTCACTTTTTCTGTACTCTTATCTCATTCCCAACTATCTATTCATGTCTCCTAGCAGAGTGATTTTTCTCTGGAATCTCTTAATTTAGGAAGTTGCTCAAACCCTATCCTAGGTTCTTTCATTATCCTCATTGGCTGGAGCTAAAATGCAACTATTAATTCTTACTTTCACGTATATGTTTAAAAGTCCAACTCTTACTTATATTTCCTGAATATCTTTAATCATATTAGTGGTTGATACAATATCTCATATCACTTGTCTATCTTAACTCAAATTATTTGGCTTATTTATTTTATTTAGCTCTCATGATCTGATCTGTGTATGGCTAATCTCATATTCCCCTTCATGGATCACTGCCTTGTCGTGGCGAAGGGGCTTGCGTAACTCAGTGA